GCAGCAGCCCTTAGACTCTAAAGGCTCTAAACTTTAGAGTTTAGAGCCTTTAGAGTCTAAGGGCTGCTGCAGAGAATAGTTTTGTTACAAAGCTACAAAAAAGTTGTGGTCACAATCTGCAGTAAATGCAAACTTTGATTTTTATTAACAGTCTCTGCGGCTGAATGTTACTGAACCAACTGATTCTACCCGACTGTTTCTTAGCATTCAGGTTTTACCACACACAGACTCAAGAGTCAAACCATACAAAACAAAAGACCCATCATGCCTTTAAGAAATGCATATCACCCGCCACCTTTCACGCCAGAGTTTTAGACTCAGAACTGCAGCTCACGTTGAAACGTTATTAAACTTTGAGAATAAAATTATTGGTGATTTCATGCAGTTTTGCAATAATCTTGTTGGAGCTCTGAGTACGTGAATGACTCTCCAGCAGATGTGTTGTTCAAAACGTTGGACTAAAAAACGTGTCGGGGGTGACGTTCAGCCACTACTACACCTCATTTTAGCCGGATATTATACATACAATATTATATTTCATTAAAATCTGTAGATTCCAGTGATTCATAAGATATTCTGCTAACAGTACAGACAAATGGACACATGCATGCAGAGATATGGGCAACAACATTATTGCTTCACCTTTGCCTTCGGGTGATAGCAGCACGCACGACCTTCTGCCAGAAGCTAATCTCAGCTGCAGTGAATGATTACTTCTTAGCCTTGACTGCACTTTCCATCTCCTCATCGGTCAGCTTGCATTGAAGGAACAGTTGAAGTGACCTCAAATAAAACAAGAACTCGAGTCTTCCAGCAAGTACGTCTAATAGAAGCTGTCCTTTAAGTGTCACTTAACATCACTGTGACTCCGTATGAAATGTCATATTTTAAGATAAATGATTCGTCTGTGGAGGCTCGAGATCAGGTGCACTCACCTTCCGCTCTTTGGGAAATTTGAATATAATTAACCTTATTTTCTTTGACTTTATGTTTCTAATTCACCACGTTTCAGAGTCATTACTCACATGGCTGAGACAGCTTTGATTCAACGGAGAGCAGGAGTGATAAAAGGGTCCATAAAGGAAAAGCAAGCCAACACATTTATTTATTATTTTGTTTTGTTATGACGCAGTAAATTACTATTACTACTAATTCTACTAATAATGACTATTGCTGACGAGATTTACAGCACAAATAAAACAACGAAGCACCAAAGTAGCACTTAAACTTGATTTATTAATAGCACAAATAATGAGTGATGGTCGTATTAAAAAAACTTTACAAAACATTCACATCATTTATGTTTTTTTTTAACCTACTTTTAGTGAGCCATTTGATTTGGTAATGTCTTTAGCCTTGCTTTTTATTGTCATTTCAGTGCATGTGTTTATTATTAATAACATTATTGTGTTTTGTACATGAAAACTTAGGTAAAAATGTAAATACTTGTATCACCAACATATTACCTGGATTTAATCAAATCTGTTTCAGACTGTCATAAAAACAACAACAATAATAATAATAGTAATAATAAAAATAATAATAAACAGTTATGGTTTTCAATCGTTAATAAATAAATAAATAAATCGGCGTTGGAGCGCAGCCCGTCTAGTTGTTGAGTGACGTTTACAGATGACCAATGAGATAGCTTCTCTCAGGATCCTGCCCAATCAGGAGAAAAAGGGGGCGGGTCTACGTGTAATCCTCGCTGGTGCGTTCAATGACAACAAACATCGAGTTTATAACGGATGGCGGCCACGACCGGATAAAAATCCACCACAGGTAAGGCGTTTGGTAACGAATAGAAGCAGTCTCAGGTTTATGCTCGACGTTTATTCGCATTAAACTGTTTTTGTTCTTGACGCTGGCGGAATGTGTTGTCTTGGTTTTGCGTTTAAAGACGAACGGTTCCAGACACGGGGGTTGCTGCGGAATGTGACAGAATGAGAATAAAACATGTTTTAACTCGACGTACGTGGCTCCTGTTGGTGGTGAAGTGTGTGGTTCGTGGTCCCGTTCGGCCGGTCCGGCCCGGTTCGGGTCAGTCTTCAGCAGCGTCATGGCGGCGGCGGCCTGGGCCGACGTTCAAACAAAACAAACATCAAAGCGCCGCGTCGCTTTGACTTTACAAGTTTCGAATTAAAATGGTTTCATTAATCTTCGAGCTGTAATCTAACCTGCAGTAACAGCAGCAAACACCTGAAGCCAGGGTTGCCAGGTAAGAAATGATGAAGTAATGCACTGTTGCTTTAGAAATAAATTTTGACCCAAACTGTCACGTGCGCTGCGTCAAGGTGTTGTAAGGTGAGGTTGTGTTTGGAGGACGTGCACACAGATTAGGAGGGGGTAAAACCATGTTCACGTTTATCTGGCAACCCTGCGTGAAACCACTTGGTTGAATTCCACAGATTAAATAAACAAGATAAAACAAATAGTTAACGGTCATAGATTTAATTTATTTCTGACTGTTGTTGTCAGGACCCCTCATGTGATGTTCTGTGACCCACAGTGGGGTCCCCTGGGGATCAAACAATGCTGTAAAGAAAAGGTTGGCGGGTCCAACTCTAATCTAAAGCAGTATATTAAATTTTAAAAGTCTTAGTCACCACTTTATTTATATTTTACATCCGAGGAGCCACGTTTTCTTTCTTTAAAGAACTCTTGATCAATAGTTTTTCAGTTTTTTCCCAGTAGGCTTTTTGACCACTTCCTTTCGTTTCAGCGGACTATTTTCTAATGTTGTTGAACTCTGACCCCTGACTCTCCCTAGAGCTGGTTTCTGCTGCCAGGACTTGGCACGCCCTCCTTCACCCGCAGCCCGACGTGCGCAGCGCCCCACCTCACCGGTCCTCCTCGCAGGTGGTCTCACGTGGAGGGAGCATCCCGTCTCTCCTTTGGGCTTGGTCCGGCAGAGCCCCAGGAGTCGAGGCTCAAACCACCAGACGCTCGGCGGTGAGCTGGACAAATGAAAGAAATATAAATCTTTATACACCCTGTCATGTGTCACGTGTTGAGCTTGTACTGCAAACACTCAGAGCACGTGGGGGCGCAAGGAACGAGAACGTTTGGATCCAGCTTTAAGAGATTATTTATGTCAACTAGAGAATAGTTTTCAAATCACTTAAGACTGTAAGTACTTTTATTCAAGTAGTAGAGTGAAAAATACTTGTGTAAAGTTTGAAGTCAGTGTAAAGTCAGCTTCACTAATTTAATGGAAAATAGTTAAATATATATTGGATTCTTAAATAAAAGTAAACCAGTCTGGATTCAGCGATCTTTCCGTGTCTCCAAAGGATTATTTCCTCAGTTCCAGCTGCAGGTTCTCCTGGGAACGGTTCTCTGGAGCCGGTCCAGCTTCAGTTTCACTGTCAGATGATTGTGTGGCATGTTGTTAGTCAGCGCAGCAGTTCCTCTCGCTCCATGTCGTCCTTTGTGCTGTGTGCAGACGGCAGCAGCCATGGGCAAGGCCCAGTCTTTCCTGGCCAAGCCTAAAGACGAGAGTAAAGACGCGCTGACGACTGCTGGAGAGCTCAAAGACGGTCAGACGGAGGAGGACGGAAAGAACGGCGACGTTTCTCAGTTCCCCTACGTGGAGTTTACGGGACGGGACAGCGTTACGTGTCCGACCTGCCAGGGCACTGGCAGAATCCCTCGTGGTAAACACCTTCTGATCTCCTTTATAATCACTGAACGTTGGAGTGTAAATGAACGCCGTCCTTAAAAAACAAAAGTCCTGACCGAACATGCATGTTTTATTTTAGAAGAAAAATGTTTTGGTAAAAACTTCAGACTGCTGGAGGAGAAGTATCTAACTTGTTTCTAACGGGTGTCTGAACCTGGCGGCCTTCTGTAGTTCAGCCAGGTTTGAGAGACGTGAAGCTCCTGGGCAGAGAGTGAAGCACAGAAACGATCTGTAATGGGGCTAAAGCAGCTGTCTGCTCTCTGAAACAGCGAAAGGTGATGCGGCTTCAGAGACTTGTCCCTGTCGTCATGTTCTCTGCAAACAGCCGCGCTCACGAGGCTGTGGACAGACGCTTGGCTGCAGAGCCCCGTCCTCCCAACGGAGTCATGAAAAGTTTTATGAGGCTCGGCATTTTGTCGAAACTCCTCGGAAACAAAGTCACGGTTTGTTTGTTTCCAGAGCTGCCTCTTCACTTTGTTTTCTTCCTGCAGCAAATCATCGTCTGTGTGTGTAGATTAGATTAGGGATGTGTTCAGACTCGTGTCATTTAATCCAGTTGTAAACGCACACTTGCTCCGTTGCGTTCGGTTGCCTCTTCATATCACGTTGCAGCTGTCGAGAGGTTGTTGACGATCACATGAGTGAAAACCTGAAATGTTCTAAATGTGAAAATGACCATCTGACGTGTCAGCTGACTGGATTTAGTAGATCTCTTTTTGCATTACCTGATATTAACGTGGTTTATGTGTAAGAAATCAGGCGTGGAAGACGCGTTCAGATTTCTTTTGTCTTCCAAGACGATCCAGCAGCAGCCATGAACAAAAACAACTTCTAAGTTGGAAAGCTAAACTTTAAAGTTTGTATTTCCTCTGCGATGCAACACTCGGCTGTATTTTTGTTTTAAATCTGCTCAGGTCAGGAGAACCAGCTTGTGGCTCTGATTCCGTACAGCGACCAGAGGCTGAGGCCAAGCAGGACGTAAGTCTCTGTCCTCCTTTAAAGCTCTGCTCTGTGTGGTCGCGCTAAACGAGCGGCGGGCGTTTGAAGGCGTCCACTTCTTCCTCCTCTCCTCCAGGAAGCTGTACGTCACCATATCGGTGTCTCTTTGCCTGCTGCTGTCTGGGCTGGCTGTTTTCTTCCTGTTCCCTCGCTCCATTGATGTCACCTACGTGGGAATAAAGTCTGCCTACGTTTCCTACGACCAGGAGAAGCGGATCGTCTATCTCACCATTACAGTAAGTTGTCTTGGTAACCGTCTCAGAGCTGGAGTCAACATTAGTTTATTGATGCAGCCTTGTGACCACACAAGATACTGATTATATTAAGCTCACGAGGAATTATCAGCAGACACTGGACTCTTGTTGAAGTCGATATGAAATATCAAACGGTGTGTTTAAAATTAGCCTCAAGCGCTGAGGTGACGACAAAAGCAGCTACAACGAATGAAGGCGGGCAGCAAAGCAACAGCCATTATTTTCCTGCGTCTGCTGTTGGGACTTTGTTAATCAGATGGTTCTAACTTGGTGCGTTTCATCCACGTCTCACCAGAACACTCTGAACATCACCAACAACAACTACTACGCCATATCGGTGACCAACATCACAGCACAGGTGCAGTTCTCCAAGACGGTGATCGGCAAGGCCAAGTTCAGCAACACGACGGTGATCAGGCCGCTGGACGAACGGCAGGTGGGCACCTCCGACCACAGCAACTACACGTACCCAACTCCAGAACCGCAGTTCAGCCAGAACTCTCATGTGGTTTTTGTTCCCGGGGCTTTTCCAGAACAAATAAAAGTTTTATCAGAGCAGAGTTTTCTTTCAAACCCCACGAAGCTTATGCAAAGTAAACAGTTGAGTTATTTTCAGGTCGTAAGTCTTGAAAATGGAAAATTTGACTAGTTTATAAAACTTTAAAGATAAAACAAATATAGTGGATCGATCTCAGTGTGGAACAAACGTGCTGATGTCGAGCTACTAAACTTAAATGGTTTATTAAGACTGCAGCGTTTCAATTTAATTTATTTATTCAGCACCAAGTCACAGCAGAAGTCTCAGGGCACTGAACAGAAACATGCATATATAAAATAATAATTAAGATTATTTATCTGAGGAGCAGCTTTGAGTTGAACTCCATCACAGAACTCATGTTGAACAAGCATGAAGGCGACAGTGGAAAGAAAAACTCCCTCATGAGGAAGAAACTTCCAGCAGAGCCGCAGCTGTGAAAATCAGGCAGTTTGTCATGTTCCCACAAAGACGTGCATTATTCTTTATTTCTGCTCCAGATTATGACCAAGAGAACGAAAACCCAAACAATGAAATTATTTTATCACAGATGCTCCTCCTCTTTCTTTGCTGCTCAAGTTTCAACCCGTCACCCACCGTGGTTGAACCAGGCGTGAACACGGAGTTTAAATGTGTTAACACATGTAATGGCACTTCTGAACGTTTCACATGTAAATAACTTGTAGCGAGCCACCAACCAGGCACGTTCAGCGCTGTAGACCCTGAGCTGATGTGACCGGTCCAACAAGCGGACCAGGTCTGCCTGGAAACTTTAAGACTCTGTTTAGTCCGTCTTCAGTAAGAGGGCAGAGCTACTATGGCCCACTTCCTGTAGTGCAATTAATGCAGCTTCATGTGTCATAAGTTGACTCCTATCAAATAAAAAGTTTGTTTTCTTGGTAAAATTTTTAAATACTCTGGCATTTTTTTAAATCTATTTCCTCTGTTACAGTCACACTGTTATCTAACATTAAAAAATGTCACATACCAACCAAGTGTATGATGTGACTGATTAAATTATGTCGTGTTCTGCAACATCTGTTTCATTTTTAAGCATAACTCAACTAATAATTGTGATGCTCTTCTTACTGTTTCATCTGAATTTAGGACAAAACACTAAACTAAAGGTTGTTTAATAATCACTAACGTTCCTTTAGTGATTTCTTGTTTTGTTCCTAGAACGTTTTATGAATCGTCTTTTGTTTGTTCTTGCAGCTCGACTACACCGTTCCCACCACCATCGCTGACGAGATGAGTTACATGTTGTGAGTATCCTCCTCCTTGTTGAAAGTGATGCTTTGTAATAATCTGTAACACCTTTATTTTTTATTCAAAATGTCTTGTTTTTCCTCCAGTGACTACTGCACCCTGCCCACGATCAAAGTTCACAACATAGTGGTCATGATGCAGTGAGTATTGTTTGTGGGGGCGTTTATTTTAATGTGGTTATGACGTCACTGTGCAGGTGTTTGTCATGAGCCTCAGATTGTTGTCTCCAAACACCGCCCTCATTACTCCACCCACACATGTTGAAGAGCAGCAGCTTTTGGTGAAACTGTTTTCCTGAGCTCCACTAGGGGGCGCGCACGTGCCTTTAAAATGTCCTCAAACAGTAACAGCTGAGATTCATCCTAAAGTTGTAGATTATTTTCACTTTATCCACCCACAGATTACCAAACTAAATTTAAACTATGATATTATTAATATATTCTGAAGGGGCTGCAGTAGCTCAGTGGTTAAGTGCTGCGGCATTGTAATCCTGAGGCTGCTGGTTCGAGTCCAGGTTGCATCTGGCGTAATTCATTGCTAAATCTTTCATGTCAGTTCTCTTCCTGTGGCAGCTCCTGCAACAGGGAGCAGCTGATGCAGCAGTGGGCAGCTCCTGCAGCAGGGAGCAGCTCCTGCAACAGGGAGCAGCTCCTGCAACAGGGGGCAGCTCCTGCAACAGGGAGCAGCTCCTGCAGCAGGGAGCAGCTCCTGCAGCAGGGAGCAGCTCCTGCAACTGGGAGCAGCTGATGCAGCAGGGAGCAGCTGATGCAGCAGGGAGCAGCTCCTGCAACAGGGGGCAGCTCCTGCAGCAGGGAGCAGCTCCTGCAGCAGGGAGCAGCTCCTGCAGCATGGAGCAGCTCCTGCAACAGGGAGCAGCTGATGCAGCAGTGGGCAGCTCCTGTAACAGGGAGAAGCTCCTGCAACATGGGGCAGCTCCTGCAACAGGGAG